AATAATAATAATAATAATAATAATAATTATTATTATTATTATAACTGCAATGTCAAAATTGTTTAAATAATACTATTATATAAAAAAAGAATTAACGAGTTAATAAGAGTCCAGAGGTTTTTCCTCCATGGTTTGCGCCTTGCCAGCCCATCATATGAGCTACAGATTGACCATTTCTCACATTTTGCATAATGCATCACACTAGTGTAGGAAAACTGCCAGCTCAGACACACACACATGTACACAGTGCACAACCTCGCACTGGGCTGTTCATAAATAATACCATCATGCACTAGGTCCACAGCTGGGTTTGCTCGCGGGACGTCTGAATTATGCAGAGACCTGCACAGTCCATGCCCCTTCAAACACACACACACACACACACACACACACGTACCCAACATACATGTCACCCACATTACATTCACGCACCAAAAGGCACAAACTGACTGTCGAGACCATTTTCACCTATCAACTTAGTGTGAAACACAGCTGAACTACCAAGCACTATTTGCTCTCCGATCACAAACCAGAGGAAAGTGGACTTTAAAAACATCACTATATCAATTGATGATGAAAATAGCACAGAGATCAGGAGCTTCTTGCTGGTAATTCTATTCTGCATTCAGATTAGGACATGAGGAGCAGAATGCAGATTGATGTGAGTGTGATTACTTCAGGAGGAAGTTGAGATTTGCCAATGTGTTATTTATGCCAGATTTTTTCAGTGAGTGATATAGGCTTCATGCACAAAGACCTCTCTCACGCTCTTTCCAACATAGTGCTCACAGACAGTTGAGAGACTCAAATTCAACATAAAATTAACAGTGGGTCAAACAGTACTTCTTTTTTTTACACTCTACATAGTTTTACAAGTCGTGATTCAAACAAGTTATTCCTGATAAAGAAAACATTCTTCATAATCACTTTTTTAAATATGTTTGTTTTTTTCTAGCTGAACAACCTTATTCTTTTCTCATTACTTTCTTCTTTTACATTGACTAAACAGAATGAAGTCTAAATATTAGTGGTGTGACAGATCACAAATCTCACCGTTCGGATCACACTACAGTTTTTGAGTCATGGATCTAACCATTTTCCGGATCAGCAAAAAAGGAGAACACTGTTTCAATTTACTATGATATTTTATGTGAAGCTGTTTTGACACAATCTACATTGTAAAAGCGCTATACAAATAAAGGTGAATTAAATTGAACAAATGTCATGTGCTTTTGATTTATACAGAAATATTCCTGCAAAAACGATTGATTTTATCAAACAGAATTTAGAACCAGTAACTTTAATAGAAAAAAAATCAAGAAAGAACCAGTTGAAAAAAAAAGGAATATATTCGACATGAAAAATGATCTTTGCTACTGTTGCTGATAATGCAAAATATAGAAATATAACATCTTTTACAACATATCATATTTATTTTCAATTTATGATTTAACAATTCACATATGGGCGAGGCAGTGGCGCAGTAGGTAGTGCTGTCGCCTCACAGCAAGAAGGTCGCTGGGTTCGAACCTCGGCTCAGTTGGCGTTTCTGTGTGAAGTTTGAATGTTTAAACTTCACAATGTTCTCCCTACCTTCGCGTGGGTTTCCTCCGGGTGCTCCGGTTTCCCCCACAGTCCAAAGACATACAGTACAGGTCAATTGGGTAGGCTAAATTGTCCGTAGTATTTGAGTGTGTGTGTGTGTGTGTGTGTGAATGTGTGTGTGGATGTTTCCCAGAGATGGGTTGTGGCTGGAAGGGCATCCGCTGCGTAAAAACTTGCTGGATAAGTTGGCGGTTCATTCCGCTGTGGCGACCCCGGATAAATAAAGGGACTAAGCCGACAAGAAAATGAATGAATGAATTCACATATGAAACTTCATGCTTCATTATAGGTGGATCAGTTTTGAAAACCTATTTAATGACATTATTTTGATGGCTGTTTGTCACCACCCATTGGTTACACAATGTAATTAAATGTTTGTTTATATCTGAACTATAAACTGTTCTCCCAGAACGTCTGTGTCATTTAACTGTTTGTAACTAACTGAAAGTGTAAAAACTGAATCTCTCTTGATCAAATGCAGATTTGAATGCAGCGCTTCGAAGGATGAATAAACTTATGCAAATCAGCATTATTTATCATTCATGTTGTGCGGGTTTGAATTGAGATCACAATTTTTTAATGTTTAAATGTGCGCTTTACACTAAATGCATTAATGCAAGCTAAACAAACAATGACAGAAAACAGCTTTAATTAATAACCTAGGAAAGCATTTAGGTAAGTACCAAAACTTTTTCTGTCTTCTTTATATTTCACAGCGAAGCCAAAATGTTTTCATACACAGGATTTAACTGACGCAGGAGGCAATCTCTCTGCAATTGTTATAAATGTTGGATCCTACGAATTCAAAAGTTACTAAACCACGGGTCACGTGCGTTCTGAACTGTTGGTTATGATCCATTACACCCCTACTAAATATAGCAAGAGAGAAACTTCTCTCCTACTACGCTTAGACTCCATTATGTTTAGTAACACTCCCATCCATAAAGACAGTAATTATAGACAACATAACAAACAAATAACACACACACTACAATGTAATAAAAATAAAATGCTTTAGAATTTTAAAACAGTATTTCTTGCTATAAGAACAAAAAAGACAAAAAAAACCAAACCAAACAAATAAAGAAAAAGAAAAAAAGACCAACAAAAAACAAATATTTAACCAAGCAAAAAAAAAAAAGACAAGACACAACAAAACAAAAGGCCTCAACACTCCGTAAGTGACTAAACTAGGGGAATTCTATGATATAATTATAATATGATATGATATATGATAATAATAATAAAATTTATAATAATAATAATAATAATCAGGGCTCAACAATAAGGACTATCCAATGGCCCGGGGCCAGCGTGAGAGATGTTCAGAACAGTAGAGAGAATCGTTACTGGCCCAATCAGGCCAATGCTGCCTTTTTTATTTGTCTGCGACTATTTGTCAATTGCGTGCAAATACAGTCTTAGAATCAAGAAACAATTTGTGCTTTTAAGTCGTTGAATGCTACCTTTTCTGTGAAGTCGTAAACACCATATTGCTTTTTGGTTCCTTTTATCTGATTGGATGTTGTGAGCATGTTATTTTTTTCCACGACCTGGCAAAAACCAGTACAGTGAAGATACGGCAACATCAAATTATAAAGTTCAAAGAAAACATATGTTTCTAACGCTGTGAAAACAGATATTTACATGGGTACAACACGACGAAAAAAAAATTATGCTATCTTTTGCTTTGCAATAAAATACTTGCACAATTTTCATACTGCTATATTTTACTGCAAAATATTTTAACATTTTTAAAATATTTAAATTCTAGATTCACAGACATTATTTTTGACATTATTTAAAATATGTGGCTAAGAAATATTTATTTATTTATTTATTTAATTAAGTAATTAATTATTTAATTATTTTGGTGGGGCCAGTGAAAATTTTGGCAGGGCAAGTAAAATTCTGAACCACTGGCCAAGTCTGGCCAGTAGAAAATGTCCTTAGTGTTGAACCCTTATAATAATAATAATAATAATAATAATAATAATAATAATAAACGCATAACATAAAAAAACAGAAAAGAAACAACTAAAAAACCAAACAAAAAACATAATAATGCCAAGCAAACAAAATAAACCAAATAGAAATGTTCCTGGCTCAGTCACAAGAAAAACTAAAAAAATTTGAACTGAAATTGTGGTGGATTTTTAGCAAAAACAAAACAAACAAAAACAATAATAAAACCGACCAATTGCATGTTCTCCCAATGTGTCATCTAAATTGATCTAAATTGATGATCTAATGTACATGATCTAAATTGACAGTAGTGTATGAGTGTGTGTGTGAATTTGAGTGTGTGTGTGTGTGTGTGTTTGATTTTGAGAGTGTATGGGTTTTTTAGAATAATGGGTTGTGACTGGAAGGGCATCCGCTGCATAAAACATATACTGGAATAGTTGGTGATTCATTCCACTGTGGTGACTCCCTGATGACTAATGCCTAGTTCAGACTGCATGAATTTAGCCCTGATTTTGACTCGTCGACATGTATTGAGAAATTGGCGACAAATGCCTGAAATCACAGGTAAATCGGCGCTCGTGCACGTGAGTGACAATCACACAGTATGAACTATCAAAGACGGGATCTGAGAGAATCGCCGATGAGTCGCCGATGCCTGTGAGATATTTGCCGTGCTAAATATCTGGAGCTGTCGACGATTCAAATAATGCCTTGTGAAATGAATTTTGAATAAAAATAACATTGGCGATCACCTGAGAGAGCTGCATTCACGTGTGTGTGTACCTACAAACCAGCGGGAGGTAGAGCGAGAAGTTAAAAGAGCTAATTTTTGGTTTATTTGGACCCAAGAAATGGAGGAAAAACTAGTGTAGGTTTGACAGGAGAACCGTGTATGTTTGACGTTTCATACAGAAAGTTAAAAAAGAAAGTTGAGGAGAAATTGCTAATTCCCTTCAAACCCAGGTGAGCAATTTTGTACATTTTCTAACCCATTAAAGGCTTCTTTCTCGTCATGTAGATAACAAAACAAAAGATATACTATGTGTTTTGGGCTGTGAAACATGATTTGGACAAAGTTGTCTGCGATTCTTCCAATTGTAAAGTCATACAATGTCATGCAGTGTGAAAACATCTGTGACATGACCACTTTGAAAAGCATGCAGTCTGAACTCGGCATAAGCCGAAGGAAAATGATTGAATGAATAAAAAAAGGCCTTTACGGGCTCAAATGGGAAGAAACAAACAAGCAAAAAATATAAAACAAAGCCAAACTGTTGCCAAGACACAGATCTGTTTATGAAATGCAATAAATTGTGTTGGTTCCTACACATGTTGCTTCTAGACCTTAAGGTTTGACTTCAAGCAGGAATGAAAACATAGGTAAACTCACAACAGAAACGCTGGTGAACAAACACACAAGTGCTCACCTCAAACTTCTGTCGGAGTTCCTCGTTGCCCTCTTCTCCCTCAGGTGGGACAGGTACATTGAAATACTCGCCCTCTTCCTGACTGAGCAGCTTAAACCTGCATGTATGAGTTTGACAGACAGAAAATAAGACACAGTCAGATGAGAGCAGCAACAGAAATGTTAAACCCTGCTCCCGCTGCCCGCTATAGGAACTACACCTAAATCGACACATTTCATGAAATTACCTCAGCTCATTTAAACCATTCATACGCTTACAGTTTGACTCTCAACGGGGACGACCTTGACTATGATCATGTGTGGAGAGGAATCCAGCCGCTTTGAGTCTCCCCCAAACAGCTTTCAGGCATCTGAGGGACAGCATGATACCCCGTCTCACATTTAGCTCGACTAACATCTGCGCTTACAGATAGCAGAAAATCAGCTTCCTGTTTAACGCTGTGAGCGGACCGTCCCCGTGTTCAAAAATCAACAGACCCACCACTGAACGCACGTTGGGTTTGCACCTCCTTTTATTGCTACTGATGTGCTAGGAGGCTGTGTGTATGTCTCTGTCTGTGTGTATATGAGGATAGGTGAGTGAATGTGTGTGGGTGCATGAGTGAGTGTGAATGCATATGTGTGTGGGTGCATGAGTGAGTCCCTGTGTCTGCATGTCTGTGTCTGCATGTGTGTGTGTGTGTTTTTGAGTGGAGATGAGTCATGGCTGCAGTGCCCCCCCCTCACTCTGCCTCTTTCCACATCTAGACCTCCAAAGGCTTTATAGTTTGTGTGAGCGACTTTATAACATTCAGAGAAATTAGAAAGAGCAAGAGAATGACAGAATGATGATTTTTCAAATATGGAAGGTGATGTGATACATTAATACATATATATAAAGCACGCTGACATGTTGTAGTCGTATCTATAATACAAGATCACCCAACACTTTTAATTAACATAGCACTTTTTTATCCATAGATCAGCTTTTACTGTCTGTGCTCCATAAGAGATTCATGGTTCATTATATGTGTAATCTGTACCCTCATTTACTTGTAAATATTGTACAATTACTTGTAGATATTAGTACAAGTCTGTGTTTTTATGAATAATTGTAATGATTTAAGAGCTGATTATAATTTGTATCGTGTTTAGATTTTTTGTTGGTGTGTTTGTTTGTTTGTTTGTTTGTTTGTTTGTTTGTTTGTTTGTTTGTTTGTTTTTCAGTAATGTTTTGTAGTTTTGGGGATATTTGTTTTCTGCTGCTGAACTTGAATAGGGCTGCCTGATTGAAGATATGCTGCACATCAATGGGAATGTATGGAATGGAAAATGGAAAAAAAAATGTAGGAATTAATAAATTAATAAATTAAATTAAATTAAATTAAATTAAATTAAATTAAATTAAATTAAATTAAATTAAATTAAATTAAATTAAATTAAATTAAATGACAATATTCGGTTGGGGATTTAAAAACATTTTGAAGTGTGTGACTGGATAGCATTTGCACTACTGCAAAAACAAATAAATAAAAAGATTAATAATAATAATAATAATAATAATAATATAATAATTTCCAGTGCTGGGTTGCAGCTGGAAGGGCATCCACTGTGCAAAACATTTGCAGAAATAGTTGAAGGTTTAGTCTGCTGTGGCAACCACTGATAAATAAGGCACCAAGCCAAAACAAAATAAAAAAAAAACTAAAATAAAACGCAGTGGCGCAGTAGGTAGAGTTGTCGCCTCACAGCAAGAAGGTCACTGGTTCGAGCCTTGACTGGGTCAGTTGACGTTTCTGTGTGGAGTTTGCATGTTCTTTGCATGCATGTTCTCACTGTGTTCGCGTGGGTTTCCTCCGGGTGGTACGGTTTCCCCTACAGTCCAAAGACATGTGGTAATATGAATTGGGTAGGCTAAATTGTCCGTAGTTTATGAATATGAATGAATGTGTATGGATGTTTCCCAGAGATGGGTTGCAGCTGGAAGGGAGTCCGCTGCATAAAACATGTGCTAGATAAGTTGGTGGTTCATTCCGCTGTGGGGACCCCGTATTAATAAAGTGACTAAGCCGAATGGAAAATGAATGAATGAAAATAGAATAAAATAAAATTTGGTTGCAGTGGCCATCCACTGTGTAAAAAATATGCCGGAATAGTTTGACGTTTATTCTGCTGTGTCGACCACTGATAAACAAGGAACTAAGCCAAAACAAAACAAAACAAATCAAAACAAAACAAAAAAATATATAAATAAATAAAAACAAAATAAACTTACATGCTTTATGATTTGCATGACTTTAACAAAGTTGCTCTTTAAGGACGTCTGTCCTTCTGACATTCAGCCTATTCCCTTTCTCAAACTCCGTGTCCCCTGCAAGCATGAATGAATGCTGTAGTGAGACAGTGACAGCTCTGACAAAGACACTGTGATCGCGTGGATCTGTCCTGACTGAAGGTCCACTGGGGAGCAAAACATCTTGCCTTTAATCTGACGCTCTGCGCTTGACTGTCAGGTGGCAGAACCCAGTCCTCACAGTCACTCAGAGGCTCATAACAGCAACAAAACCTTTCAAACATCTTCATAAAATATATACACATCTAATCAAACCATCTTATAAAAGTCATGTCTACGTAGAGAAGACACCACCTATAGATGCCAACAGGGATGTGTTCTATCATCACTGACGGTAAAAATATCAAAACTAAAAGAGAGAAACAAAGACAAAACTTCGCAAACCTTATGAATCAGCCATCTGTCACTGTGAACAGAGCCTTCCAGTAAATAAGTGTATAATAATAAATAAGTCAGGGTGATTGGAACAGTGTTTGGACACAAGGGTAACACTAAAAAATAAATCTTATTAACCCACTGTATATGAGTGAACAACAAACAAACAAACAAATAAATAGATAAATAATTGTGCATTTATGGAGTGTGCTTCACACATGTGAGTGGGCTTGACAAACCACCTGTAGAAACACTCTTCACTCTCTCTCTGAGCACTAACAGTTCCTTTGTATATTTAGCACTACTTGCGTGTATTGCCTCTTTTTGTTGAATCGATCAATGCCTCTTCAGTTGTAAGTCACTTTGGACAAAAGCATCCACTAAACATCAACATGTAATGTAAAGTACTGTAATCCCTTTACTGCTGTAGTACAGAATAATGTGTTATGCAACTCTTAGCGGATACACCCTATACTTTTATCTATTTTGATGTTTTTTACATTACGCATTCTTCTGTTCTATGTTTTATCTTAATGCAATTTCTACATTTTAAATGTTTAATTTCCTTAAAATGAATTTACAATAAAAAAAGTAAATAAATACAGCATATATTTTTTTTATAAATGTGACTGCTGGACTGCTCCATGATTGGGGTGGTGGATATTGTATTTTATAATATTATTGTTACATAACATTACATTATAATAATAATAATTATAAATAATTATCCAACCTATCATGTTTCATTAATGCTAAACAACCCTAAACCCACCCCTTAGCAATTATAGCTATACAGCATAATTTTCTGATTATTGATGTGCACATGCTCAGTAACCACCTTTGTAAAACATTCTAGGTCTAAAGGGGTAGTTCACCCCCCCCAAAAAAATGAATAAATAATAAAAATAAATAAATAAATAAATTAAAAATTAATTATATATATATATATATATATATATAAATGCAGTAAATGGTTAAACTTTCTTTCCTTCTACATGGATCTCTTGTTATAATTATGCTTTGTTTATATATAAATATATATATATATATATATATATATATATATATATATATATATATTAGGGATGTCCCAATCAGGTTTTTTGCCCTCAAGTCCTAGTCTTTGATTTTGAGTATCTACGAATACCGAAACCCGATCCAATATCTTTTTAATACATTGAAAAATATTAAAACAGAGGGAATAAAACGATTCAGGAAATTCCTGTTCCTAATCTTTTATTTAATTCACCTTATTTTAACATTCAACAACTCTGTTAACAAACAGCACTTCTGTGAGGTAGCTTGAAAAAAACATAAATCCTTCCCTTTTGGACTTTAGTGCTACAGTAAATATATAAAAAAAAATCTAATATAAAAACAAATAGCACCTCTGGATCTGAGCATCCCTAATAAATATATACATACAATAATGTGTAATGTTATTAATTGGGTTAGTAATTACTACAAGATACTTCTGTCAAGATATTTGTACTCACTAAATGACTAAAAAAAGTATAAAAAATAAATCTAACAACTGACAGAGAGAGATAACATGTATGAGTGAGCAAAGATTTCCACTCAAAGTGGATATGACCTTTCTCTATTATTTCAGTTCTGTCACATTACCTACATGTTTAAGCTTTCACATCAGGGCTCATGCAGAGGCAAAAATACACAAACCCTGGCTGACAAGATGGGCGTTTAGAGGCATTTGAGCAGGCAAGTGACTGTGTGCGAGCAGAAAACAGCAGTGAAGAGCTCTCAGATGAAGAGCACTACTGAGGGTGGAGGATAGACAGGCTGAGGACTTCTGAAAGAGCAAGAGTCTTCAATCCAGAGAAGATGAGGGACGACTCAAACTGTTAGACGCGAATGAAACTGCTGCACGTCTGCAAACTATTGTGATGTGCAATGCAGTTTATCATTTAATATTACTGTATACTCTGTGTTCAGTAGACATATTCATAACAACACTTTTCAGGGTGTTTTTTTTTTTTTTATTTGGTACTAGTATGCATAAAGGAATTAGTGACGTATTAACTGTTGCATGTGTAAAATGTTCAGAATTACATATTATATATTGGGATCACTAATGAACAGTGCTCAGCATAATTAAGTACACCCTATATTGAAAATAGTATATTTGTATCCATTTCTCATTGAATATAGGCAATGTATGTTGGTGCATTAAACAAAACAGATTTATTAAACAGATATATTATTCAAATAATATTTTAGTCACCAAACATATTTAGAAATTGAAAGATAATACAATTAAATTCAAGCAAAAGAAATGACAAACTACAAAATTTCAACAAAATTTTTGTAATTTTTTTGCTTTGAAAAATTTTTAAATTTGTATTTAACATTTTTCTATGACATACATTTGGGTGTACTAGTTTTTGGACCATTATCATAAGTTATTTTGTAAGATCCAGAAGCTCCAGATTTGGCTTCAGCACTGACAAATCTAATGTTTATTCACAAATATAATATTGTATTGCTTCTTATTAAAAGTATGAATTTAAAAGATTGATTTGTGAGGGGTGTACTTATATATGCTGAGCACTGTATATATATATATATACATACATACATACATATATATATATTTATATATATGTATACACAAACACACACACACACATATATACATATATATATATATATATACACACACACACACACACACACACACACACACACACACACACACACACACATACACACACACACACACACACACACACACACACACACACACACACACACACACACAGTATGAAGGGGGGTGGGGTTGTCGGGGACGGGGGTTGTTGTGTAAAGCATTATAGCCTAATCTGAATAACTTGATCAGTGTGGCAATCAAAAATCAATGCATTCACACTTAAATTCAAACCAAAAGTCATATTTGCCATTCACATATTTTTAATAAGGTTTAATATGCATTTCTTATTTAGAGTCATTGATTTGTTTTTAGTCCAAATTAAAATAAATACACCAACAGGTTAAGTAAAATAATTTTATTTCAAAAGAAAAACAATATTATATTACTTACCCCATTGGCAGATAACTTAGCTTTTTTAAGGAAAAAGAAACTTGATTTTGACTTATTATTTCTAAAAACAAAACCTGTTTTTACTTGATTTACTGTAAGATTTTATTTCTTTAAAAAAAACAAGACAAACATTCTAAGAAAAGCATGTATGTAGTGTTCTTTTTTGCCTGTAAGCTGCATAACATTAATTTGTTCATTCAATTGTACTCTTATGAGATGCACATAGTCATGGAAGATGAGTTTGAATGTGCTTTAATAGCAGGTGAATAAGGTAATGTGTCTCAGCTGACCACTTTTCCTCAGGTCACTCAATGCGCATGATAATACCATGTGAAAACGGCACCCTCGAGAGTACATAAAATATATCTGCCCATGGAGACTTCCTCATTTCCACTGATGCAAATGTACATGTTAGCAGGCTTTCTTACCATCCGTCCACTCCTTGCTTCTGAAGCTCTGAAATGCCAAAAGAAAGAGAGCCCATAAAGTCGTTCCGGCTGGTCAAGTCCCAGTCCCAGATCTCCACAGACAGCCTGCGGTCCTTGTCAGACTCCTTCAGATTACTGTAAGACACAGAGCGCAGGAGGGAGGAGGACAGAGACAATGAGAGATCAAGCTGCACATTTGAGTTTGCATTTCCAAGACAAACAAATGATTGTTACTTTGGCACAACCACCGATGGTCAGAAACAGACTGAGAGGATTCTTACAATGTGAAGGTCTCGTTCCATGTGGGATTCAGGCAGCACTTGATGGTCTTGGTCTTCTGTTTGCTCTCGCTCTTGGGGTCAGGGATGAGTTTTAGTTTGACGTAGGGGTCAGAGAGGCCATTGGGGTCCATGGGTACCAGGTTCTTTGCCTCTTTAACTGTAATGCAAAAAGGTATACGTTATACATTATAAACGCATACGGAAATCATGACTAGTATTTCAGCGGTTTAGTTCTTTTTAGTGTGCAATCAATAGCTATGTTTCCATCCAAAAATGTGAATTAACTTTATGCGCAAAACCGGAATACCGTATAAAAGCAGGGTTTCTGCAGGTTTCATCAAGTCAAATTTAACCCTCTACCGTATGGTGTTGCCATATGGCAACATGATATTTATGTTCATTTCACTGACATTATTTCTTTAACACCAACATTCTAATTTTTTTTGTTGGAAAGAGAAGACCATGGCTTAGCCAGTGATGTGCTTTGGTCAAGTTATATGACATACAGTGTTTTTCTGTATAGATTTCTGACAGACTGGTGTTTTTTGTGAGTAGTTGCTGAAAGCAAATGTAAATGTTAATAAAAACAAAGTATCAACTCATGTCAGATCCACAAAAAAATCTGAAACATCACCTCCAGTAAGTTATGATGACGTATTCTCAACTCAAGTTTTTATCAAATTAGTTGTTTGTAAATCGATCAAATGTACGTGTAACGGAGCCCAGCTAGTAAGTGCTGTGCAGGTAAACCTCACTCCTCTGACCTCTAGGTGCTCTAGCGACAGATGCTAGAGGCCATGGTCTTTAGCCTCCTTGTTAGCCTCCCATGCGGAAAGTTGTCGGTTCGATCCCAGCTCGGAGCGGGTTGGGTGGTGTAGGAGCGACGGGGTTACATATGTGGTCCAATAGTGGAATTGTGTCTGTTTACATGTTTTAAGAGACTTAGTTTAAGAGATTTAGAAATTGTAATTAAATAAGACTCGATAACGATTAACATGATTGAACACAAACACACTTTCGTAACTTGTTGGCTACTTCTGATGGAAAAAATGTGTAACATTAATTCACTAATTATTAGTCAAGTCATTCTTAGTTCAGTATTCAAACAGGGTTTCTGCAGGTTTCACCAAGTAAATTTAAGACTTCAAGACATTTTTAAGACCATTAAGAATGAAATTCAAGACTCATAAAAGGCTAAACACTAAGGAGTTTTTGAAATGGCCCAGATTGAAAGGTTTTTTATTTGCCCTATCAAAAATAATAATAATTTAATACATTTAATGATACAATAATGCAAAAAAAATTTTAAGATGTCTTTCAGCAGAATTTGTATGCCATTTTTTTCCACCTTTAATTCTCTTTAAAATAACATTTTAAAAAATGAACAAATGTTTTAAAAGTTTTCAAAACTATAATAAACTAAATCTATGCACAGCAATCTGTCCAGGTCCTCGGCACTAAATAAATGAAGCATTTTTAAACAAAAGTTATTGTAAGGAAAATAATAAATCATTATGGTAAATAGAGTTTAAAAACTGCCTTTTAAATCAATAGTTTAAAGTTTTATTGAGATGAATGGACCTGTTTAAAAAAAAAAGATTTAAGGTGCTAATAGCCTAGTGGTTAAGTGTGTCGACAAATAGCACCATAGTGCTCACAGAGACCTGAGTTAGATTCCTGGCTCAAGGTCCTTTGTCAACCCTTCCCCTCTCATCTTCTACCAATACTTTCCTGTTTGTAACCTCCACTGTCCGATCCAAATTAAAGGTGAAAAACTCAAAAAAAAAAAATTTAAATAAATAAATAAATAAATAAAAATAATAACAAAAATAATAAATAAATATTTAAGACCTACAACACAATATTTCAGTAAATTTAAGACTTTTTAAGGCCAAAAAATTTAGATTTTTAGATTTAAGACATTTTAATATATTATTCAAAAGATAAATGGCTCTGGCATGTATCAAAATTTAAAAGAAAATGTAGTTTGTGAAAATGATGTTGTTAAAGTGTTTTTGTCTTCTCAGAACATAATGAATGTTTACAATGTTGTTATTGAAAATCAAACCAAAAATTGATTTCTTAACTCTTCCGAGGTAAAAAGAAATGGTATTGTGTTGTTTAAAAATGTATATAAACATGTCTGAAAACATAGTACCTTTTCATTTTTGCAAAACAAATTGCTCTAAATGACAGCATTTTTATATTCAAAAATAACTACATTAATGTTTTAATCAAATGTATAATTAATCCAGAGAAACTAAGAAGTTTCAAATCACCTCTTATTTTTTCATCCTGTATCTACTGTAAATTGTTACTCAAGCTGTAAAGAGGTCACATATTTCTAAAACAAAAAGGTACTGAAAAAATGCTCAGGGTTGAATGTCAAGCATTTGATAAAATCCTCACGTCAAACCTTTAACCCTTAAAAGCAATAACTGCGGACCCAGATGCAAGTGAATGGCTGTCAGTCATTTATACTTGCGTCTCATGAGCCCTCAGGGCCCGTGTTGGGCTGAGATGCACACAGACTATCCAAGTAATTGGGGTTGACCTCGGCACTTGACCAGTACAACAATTAATGCAGGAGGCTGCTGTGGCCTTGAGATTTGTGGCTAGTGTAATTTCCATAATGAGTGGTGTGTGAAGGTAGGCTTAGTTGTTCATTAAGACGCGGCGTATTGCAGCACTGAGACAGAGAAAGAGAGAGATGAGCTTCTGCAACCACCAGGGCGGGGTTTATTTCGGCCAGTTAATAAACCTTACACAAAATGTTTGGAAAGACGTGCATAGTTTTTCAAAAAGGCAAGCATTTGTAACTAAAGGGTTTATATTCATATTGCTACAACAAAAATAAATATTTGTTAGATCACCATCTCCACGCCAGATTAAGAAGATCCCGCCCCGGACACCAGATCTTGTCAGAAAAAAATCTGTTTCTCCAGGTATCTGGACAACTTGTAAGCAGAGTTTCCAATACCCAAACCAGTTAACCAGTATTCCACTGAAGTAACTAAATAGGAGTATACCGAGAAAACCAGAGAGGAGCAGAAGCGGAAAAAGTAATCATGATAAAGAAAGAGCAAAGTTTATTGAATAATCTTAGTTGTGTAAGATTTAAAGTTTAGACTTCCACAAGCAACAGCAATGGGAAATTACTGCTTCACAACATTGTCCAGAGACAATACAGACCTTGAAATGGAGACATTCTCTTATCTCTTACTCATGAAAACAAGTATCGCTTGAATCCACAGTCATACAATTATAGCAATATGGAAAATTGGAAATAATAATGAAGCAATAACTATGAGAAAATAATAATAATAAAACACATAATAAAATGACAAATAATAAATCAATAATAATCAAATCATTAACTAATGATCAATATGAATTTAATTATGATTATATAAATGATTAAGGAACATATGATATAATAAAATAATTAAATGAAGAATAAATGTATAAAAACAAATGAAAATTAAACACAGTACAAATGAATGGTTGCTTTCTTGAAACAACACACACAAAAGTTTTCTACAAGGATTCTCAGATCCTTAGTTAGATTCTTCATATTGGTATCCATTTTTTGTACATTTTAGGTACTAAATTGAACCCTTTAGGTACAAATGTGCGCCTTTTCAAAATGTCCTGCCTTGCCTTCGCAAAACACGTGCTCTCATGAATAATTAAATAGCAGGATCTTCTCATAGGATAAAAGAATTCCGCTATGAATAATAATGAGAAATTAACGCATCATCACTCCACTAGCAGATATGCGCTACGTCACCGATTTTGATCTCGCCCCAAAAATTATTTTAAACCCAGAAGATCAAATAAGTTGACAAAAGCTCAGAATTATTCAGTTTTAACTGATGCTCAACTCACACAAATCTGTTAAAATTACTCCAAGGCGTCTCGAACCTTTAAATAAACGGGGAGAAATGAATTAATTTATTCCCAAGTGTGTGGAAAAGTTGAACATTGAATGTTCAGTTAATTTTTACATTTCCACTTGCACCATAAGGTCTGAAAACTGAAATATCGTTCCCCTCAGGAATGGGCAGTATTTATGATACATGTATTTCAAATACATATTTCAAATGCAAAATAGTATTTTGTCATTTGTATTTGACAGGTTTGATGACAATGGCTTAATATTTTGTATCAAAACACTTTAGTGTCCTTTGTAGTTTCAAAATACGGTAAAATACCAGGCAAGAAGTCTACAGTACATGATGACATCTTAAAAATGAGGCCTCTGATTGGTTGTTTTTCAGTTATTTGCTAAAGCTTGAGATCAGAACACAAAACTTTTTATGTTTTTAAGAAGGTAGACAATGACCTGTGTATGGATGGAAATTATGCTTAAAGTAATAATAGACAAATGGTGAGGGTATTCAGGAGCAGGTCAACAACCATTGATATAGTATACTGAGCAATGCTCTATTAAGACAATAAATATGTAGCTGTATTGTGTACGATTCATCTTCTTTGCTTATGAAAGGAGATTAAATAAAACATTAGTCCTGAAGATCAGAACATCATCAATCTCAGATGGAAATGCAGAGGATGTTTAGAAATATAAAACATCTAAATATGGTGTACTGGTGTTTTTAAGAGGGTAAACTGAGACTCTTACAGTAAAAAAGAACTAAAAGAATCTTGGGAAAATGAGTATACTGTACAAAATATATTTTGATACATTTGTGGCTGCTGTATTCTGCAGTTTATTGTGATACACTTAAAATTGGTGTATTTGGCATTTTATTGCCCATCCCTGGTTACATTCATACATTCATGCTATCAATCTGATAACAAAAAAAAAAATGTCATTAATATACACTGTAGTAGCATTGATATTCAAACAGTTAAGGCTGAAAGAAAATAATCCAAGGGATAGTTCATCCAGTTTGAGTTTCTTTTTTCGATGTAAGCAAAAACAAGATATTTTGAAAACTGTTGGAAACCAGAAGACATTGATTTCCATAGTATTTTTATACTCTGGATGCATACCTGTCAACTCTCCCGTTTTTCCCAGGATTTTCCCGTATTTTACAATTTTATTCCGCTATCATCTCGTAAAGGTTTTTTCCCGTATTTCTCCCATATTATTAACATGTCTATGAAGATTGGCAATAAACATTAAACAGCCGA